AAATCATGACAACTACTATGGCAGACGACTTCTGACTAGGTGCATTCCACTAAGTCGCCCTGGCAACAAGACCAAGTTAAACAAGACCAAGAGACCAACCCACTTCAATGAAAGATGTAGACTGATTTTGCAAAATTATCTTTTTATAGTAGTCCTGCTACTTTTGCTCTGGTAGACTCTTCTTGACCTGATCTTGACGTGGTTATTTTGCACGAATGAGTTCCAGCTCTGATAATGTCCATCAAATGATGGACGAAAGCTCAGCTGAAACGAGGAAGGAGGTCAACATGAACGTCGTACAAAAGCCAAACTGCGGGATTCATCCGTTCTCTTCTGGTGAGATTGACCTACAAATCGCTTCTTCATGCATTTTCATACGAAATGAAAGTCTCCACAACAAGATGTTGTGGTCGCTGTTTTGGTTACCATCTCCTTTTGCTGTTTAAAAGTGGTTTGTCCTCGTTTTTGCAAATTGGTCTTTTTGCCTGCATTCCTCTGCGTGGACCGTGGATTTGGTGCACTTCCACACGTTTCGCCGGCATCGTATGTGTTGGCTCTTGCCAACGCGTCAGAGAGACAAGTAAAGTCAACCGCATGACCAACATTTTTCGACGAGTTGCAGCTTCGAGATGAGAATGGCATGGCTTACTGACGGTGCCGGCTGGACTTTGTGGAATGTACCAAGCCACAAAACCTGTGCAGCTGAGAACTTCGGACAAGCTGCGCCAAACTGATCGGTCGGGACAAAACCAGCAATTTGTGAAAAAAGTTTAAACCCTTCTCCGGTTTCCGATGAGACCAATTCACAAGCTAATTCCAATCAACTATCATTTCGAAATGAAAATTCATGCTACAATGCATAATTGAGGCATTACTCGGAATCCAGGGTTTCTTCATTTCTGTTCCGTTTCATTTCTACTTAATGGGCCTCCATTCGGTTTCCGTGAGGTGTGCTGATTTGACGAGGTGGTAGGACAAAAATGCAATCCAACCACATCGTAAGGTCTCGTCCCTTTGGAGTGGGGTACTCTTGAGCTTGTCGCCTGGTCGGTGTCTTGGTGAGCATGTCCGGAAGAGTAGGATGCAATCGAGTCCGTCGATGCTTTTCACATGCGTCTAAGTCAGCAGACAGGATGCCAAAGCCAATGTCTGTATGTGTGTTTGTGAGCTCGTTTCGAGACTACCAGCAAAAAAGTAATGTCTTCGATTGCTATAGTACATAAAAGTTTGCTTTATAGGCAATCCCAACGCAGAATGTGGTATGAAAAATGCCTGAAATTCCTTGAAATCCACATCTGCCCTCTCACTCAACGGCACTCGTGGCAATGTGGCCGAGTGGTCGACGAATCGAGATTACCCGCCGCACTGTCACGGTTCAAGTCCCGCTGGGGGTGTTGACAAGACCTAGGCGAGGTCGAAACTTCCATCTTGACGAGAAACCGTTGCTGGAGAGCAAGACTAGATGAAATTCAACCGCCATCATTCGTCAACTTAAACAAAATAGGGTGGATACGACTGATATATTATGCGTGGTTGTACTTTAACTCTTGCCTGTTAGTGCGTTTGTGGTTGTGTTTATGATAATGCATGTTTTTGTACTTGTGAATGTATTTATTGGTGCACTTATGCTTGCAATTTGAAAGTGTGCCTGTTGCTGTATTTGTGCTGAATCATGTGTTTGCGTCTATGTCTGTGTGTGCGCCTGAGCCTGATTGTATAGTTTACTTTGTTGCAGTATTTGTGCTTGTGTTTGCGCTTGTGCATGCGCCCGTTTCTTTGTCTGTTCTTGCACAAATATATTCACAATTATGCCAGTTTTTGTCTTTGTCATGATGCCTCTATTTGGGCTTGTGGCTGTACCCATTTTGTCTTTTTGCTCGTGATTCTGCTCGCACTTGTCTCCTTTTGACAACCAAGCTTGATGAGACAGACGAAAGCGTAGACCCTTTCGATGCGAACGATACGACGAAACGACGGATTGAGGCCAGATCCGAGCACCAATCGTGGATGGGCGTTTCACGTTTGGAGAGTCGAGCCAGCGACCCTCCGGTTCGGCCTCGCCCAGTCTCTCCGACACGACGCCCTCGAGACTCGTGTCAGCTGTACCGTCGTGAGGTCATCTCGTTCCGATGATCGAAAGCCAATAAGAGCCGCCTGGCAACAGTGTCGACGGTGGATCGAGCCTCGCCTGCACCAGAAGAGTGAAGGGGGCATGGGGTTAGGAGGT